TCTGTCCCCCCCCCCGGACACCTGGGTCCCTTGTCGCCTCCCCAGATACCTGGGTCCCTTAACCCTCCCCTGCTCTCTCGGGCCCCCGAGTCCCCGGGCTGCCTCTCTGGCCCCACTGCCTCAAATCTGGGGTGGGGGGGGAGAGAAGACGCCCCCTCCCCACAAGTCCAGGGCAGCCGCAAGCGCGCGACCTCCCAGTTGCTGCCAGCTGCGCCAAGTGCGCTCGCCCCGCCCCCTTTCCTGGCCGCACCGGCTCGGCGTGCCGGAAATGACGTTTAGCGTCTCGTTCGAGTTGCGCCAAGGGCGTAGAGCGCGTTTCTGAATGGCAAAAGACCGGGGAGCGGGGAGCCTGACTCTTAGAGCGGCGGCGCTCTTTCCGCTCCGCCATCTTAACGACGGGCATTTGTGCTCGCTTAGTAATGGGAAAGGGGAGGGGGAGAAAAATCCACAGCCCGGAAGTGCTTCGTGCTAAAGGTTCCCCCTCCCTCGGTTCCGTCCTCTGCTTCCGAGTGCACCTCTTTTCTCTGGCTCCTTCGTTCCGTTACATTCGTTTTACACTTATATATTCATACGTTCCTGCTTATACAGTTTAACAGACAAAAATGAAGAATAATGGACTCTGCGGATGCAAGAGCTCTGGGTCGGAGTCGGGCGGGGTCTAAATCGAATAAAGTAATTGTAATTTAGCAACAGCCTGACCTACAGCTGTGTAATGCTTAGAATTAAGGCATGCCAGTGTTTTAATGTAAGCCGTGTGGACTACAACTCCCAGAATTCCCCAGCCAGCAATGAGTAATGCTGGTTGGGGAATTCTGGGAATTGTAGTCCACACAGCTTAAAGTTGCCAAAGCCGAGATGCAGCAAAACCAAAGCGTCCTTTTAACACTTACAAATTGTGGTATAAAATATTATGGGACCCAAGAGCCAAAAGGAAGCCTACCCAGAGTTTTTATGCTCTTTTTAAAAAAAAGACAAGAGGCAAATGTAGCCACGGAGGGAAGGAAGGCAGAAAGAAAGAGGAAGGGGAGGCAACTGAAGAATGGAGGAGGGGGGAAAGGGAAGAAGGAGAAGCAAAAGGGAGGAAGGAAGGAAGGAAGGAAGGAAGGAAGGAAGGAAGGAAGGAAGGAAGGAAAAGAAGCGGGGGAGGAAGGCAAGGAAGGCAAGAAAAAGAATGGGATGGGAAGAGAAGGGAAGGGAGAGAAAGAAAGAGAAAGGAAGGAAGGGAAAGAAGGAGAGGAGGGCGAGGAGGGAAGGGACAAAGGGAAGAAGAGGAAAGAAAATGAGAAAAAGAGGGAGAGGAAGGAAGGAAGGAAGGAAGGAAGGAGAGGGAAGGAAAGTAGAAGAAGATGGGAGGAAGCAGGAGGAGGAAAAGGAAGGAAGGAGAGGGGAAGAGGAGAAAAAGAAGGCAAAACTGTAATGGCAAACGCCCCCTCCCTCCTGGGGAAAGAGGACTGAGGGGGGCGGAGCCAGGCCAAAGACCGCGCGGGGGGGGTGTTGCTTTGATGTGCCCAAGAGGGCGGAGCCTCCCCCACGTCTCCGCCCTCTCTGACGTGGCCACCCCTGATTGGGCCCCGCCGGTGGCAGTTCTTTATCGCCTTGGCGACTACGGCTGGCTCTCCGCTCGCGGTAAACAGGAGGAAGGGCGCTCAGGCAGCGCTCCGTCCGCAGGTAGCCGCATCGGGCAGCCCCGGGGAAGGCGGGGGGGGGGGGGGGGG